GAGAAAAAGATTTTTATAACAACATTTGGATACAGGGCTGTAACAAATACACTAAATGAAAGAGCTTCTGAAACTGTTTTACATATTTAATATTTTTAAAAGGTTAAAACTTAATTGCTGATTTTAGCTATATAAAAAAGCCTGCAGCATAAAGCATATTTGTTCATTGATTCAAGCATTTACTGAATGCTTCTCTCCTGTCATGTGCCATTCTAGGAGCCAAGAGTCAGCTGTGAATACAACAAACAACAGGTCTCCTCCCCTCCTCAAGCTTGTATTCCAGTAGGGAAAGACCCTCCCAACTAAACCAAGATGTTGGATAACATTTCTTTTCAAACCTTATCTTAAAACTTGTCACTGAACTGACAGGAACCTAGAAAGGAAAGAGTACCAAAGCTGGCTTTTACCGTTCAGGGTTCTGCTAAACCACAGATTTCTTAGTTTCTCTAACAATAACCAGCAAGATTTAATTTTGGTGAGGTTGAAGTATTGATACTTTTTTATGATTAGCCTTTTTTTTTATTATTGTTGTTGTTTTTGCTTCTCATTTAAGAAAATGCTCCCTACCCCAAGATCATAGACATCATTTTTAGATTTTTTTTTTTTCCAAAATTCAAAACATTTTCCTTTGCATATCTAAGTATTTTATCCCTCTGGAATTGATTTTGGGCATGGTGTGAGGTAGGGATTCTGTTTCTTTTTTTTTCCCATATGGCTAAATACTTGTCCCAAATGGATTTGCTAACAGTATATTCTTTCCTTGCCAGACCTGGAAAGCCACTGCTATCATACATCACGATTCTATGTCTGTGTGGATTCTGTTCTGTGCTTTATATTTCATTCCATTAGTCTATTTGTCTATTCCTGTGATTAAACCTTTCTTTAAGTAAATCTCTTAGCATTTACCATATTATTTGTGACTATCAGGATAAACATCTTGTCTTCTGTCCTCTTTGTAACCTCTTAAGACAATAGTGGCAATGACCTATTCATCTTTTTATTTCTCATAGCATCTAAATCAGTACTTCTAGATCATAAGTTTATTTGTAAAGGTCAGCAGCAATACTGATTCTTTTTTTTTTTTT